CTACAGTGATAAATATAGCACAGTATTGGCACAAAGATAAACATGTGGATCAGTGGAACAGGACAGAAAATGCAGAAATAACTCCAGGTATGTTCAGCCATCTGATCCTTGACAAAGGAACCATAAACATATGCTGGAGGAAGGATAGCCTCTTTAGCAAATGGTGCTGGGAAAACTGGTTAACGGCATGAAGAAAATTGAAACTAGAGCCCTATCTCTCATCATGTACTAAATTAAAATAAAAATGAATCAAAGCTCTAATTATTAAAACAGAAAAAAGAAACCTGCTGGAAGATATAATAGGTACAATTCTTAAGTCATAGGAGTAGGCAAGCACTTTCTGAACAGAACTCCAATTGCACAAGAAATAACAGCAAGAGTCAACAAATGGGGTTATATCAGATTTAAAAGCTCCTGCCGAGCAAAGGAAACAACAAAGTGCAGAGACTACCTACAGAATGGGAAATAAGTTTTGCCAGCTCTTCCTCAGCTGAGTACTAATATCTTATACATAAACAACTCAGAAAAGTCAGACACCCTCAATAAAACACCGAGTCAAAAAATGGGCAACTGAAATGAGTAAACACTTCTAAGAAGAAGTAAAAATAGCAATAAACACATGAAAAAGTGATCAATATCACTGGCCATTAGAGCGAGATAAATTAAAACAACAATTAGATTAAATGGTACTCCAGAAACAAAAAAAAATCATCAAGAAACCAAATAATAAATTCTGCCAAGGCTGCAATGTAAATGGAACCCTCATACAGAACTGATCGGAATGTTAACTAGTACAACCGTTTTGGAAACTGGTATGGAGATTCCTCAGAAGACTAGAAATAGAAATTTTAATCAACCCAGCTATTCCCCTACTAGGGATCTTCCTAAAAAAGTTAAAGACATATTACAGCGATACATGCATACCAATGTTTATAGTAGCACAATTCATAAAAACTAAATCTTGGAAGTAGCCTACATGCTTATCAACAGACAAATGGATTTTTAAAATGTGATATTATATATGTGGAATGCTACTCTGCTCTAAAGAAGAGTAAATTTGAGTGATCTGTCAGAAAATGGATGTACCTTGAAAGCATAATTGCTATGGTTTATATCTGGATGTCTTCCAAAGCTTCCTGAGCTCATGGATGGGCCTTTTGGAAGGTAACTGGACTGTGGAGACATGATACTCATCAGTGAATTAATCCACCATCTCCCTTGATCCCTTCCATAGTATGAACAATCTCTCTTCCAAGGCCCCTCTACCCTGCTGTCCTGCCTTAGAGTCAATGGACGATGGACTAAAACCTCTACAAACTGTGAGCTAAAATGCACTTCTGTTCCTGTAAACTGCAGGTGTCAAGCAGTGTCTCAGTGATGAGAATAACTAATACAATAATATTGAGTGAAATATGTCACATGCCCAAGCTTAAATACCTTATGATTTCTATCAGGTGAGCAATCCAAAGCACAAATAGAGTAAAATAAAAGATAGATGAAAGAAACAGAAATAAATCTTTTGCAAATGGAAAGATGACCAAAAGATGAGAGGGAGAGGAAAGGAATTTAAAAAGACTGTGTTGTGCGCATGTGCCAACTATCTCCAATAAATGTAATCATTATGTGTTTTAGGCATAATCTAAAAAAGAAATTTTTTTTCAAATTTTAAATGAGGCAGCATTTTCTGGGGAAATGCAGCTCAGGCAAGGTCCTGGTTTTTCTTTATGGCTCAGTAGTACTTCATTGTGTAAAAATAACATTAAATAACACTCACTAAATATAAAAATAACATTCAAAAACCAAATAAAGAAAAACTGAGGGATTTGATATAAAGCAAGTAGAAAAGAATGAGCAGTTGGTTCATAAAAAAAATACAAAAAGATTTCAAACCTCACTAATAATTAAAGAAAATACATTTAAAAAATAAGATCTATGTAATATATGAAACAAAAACAAACAGCTTGATGATTTAGTGCTACAAAAACTGGGGATAAATAAGCACTCTCAGACACTGTCGCTGGATATGAAAATGACTAAAACAGCTTACAAAAGTAACCTTCAGAATCTATAACAGTCAAAAATGCTTGTTTTCTTTGATACATAAAATTCCACTGTTAGAAAAGTATTTGTGCTATCTGTAGAACAACGCAAATGAAACAAATCAATGTAAATATTCAACACTAACAAAATACATAAAGTTCATCTATATAATTATATGCTGTGCAGTCATTGGAAATATTGTATAAATCTTTAATAAGTAATACATAAAATCACTAAGATGTATTATTAAGTGTAAAAGTGATATATGAACACTGCACATCACATAATCCCTACTGAATAAATTGAAAAAGGGAAAATATTCACATATTAAACCTGATATTAAAAATGTTTGGAAACATGCAGAAAAAACAGCGATGACTTTTGTAGAAAGGTATTGTTAATAAGGATAGAGGAATACTTTATGTTTTCTATAATCATAGATTCTTAAATTTCAAGTATGATGGTTATTAATTTTATTTTATTAAATGTTAACAGGGATGAACTAGTTGATAGCCATTTTGGTTTTCTCCTATTTATTTTTAGTATTTTTAAAATAAAGGGGCTGCAAAGATCACTCAAATTACTTTCATTACCCCTTTTCCTTTTTAAAATTTTATTTTAAAGAGAAAAAATTTTCAAAACAACATGATAGGAGGGTAATAATTGTTAATACATTGCATATTGTTACCTTTCAATTAGTTACTCAGACTACAAGATATCAGTAGTTAATTATCCAAATAATATTAGCACAGACCTTTGTTTTCAATGAACTAAGAGAAATTAGTAATATAACTATCATATATATATATGATAATTATATATATTTGCTCCTTTTCTCCAGTCCCCCATCCCAGTTTCTCCTTCCTTTTGAAGTTTCTTCCCATTTTACAGTATCTAGTGTACATTTTCCATTTTGGATCTTATTTACTCTTTTGGCTTCCCACACTACGGAGACAATATGATGTTTACATATGTGCATCTGATTTATTTCACTTATGAGTATGGTCTCGAGTTGCATCCATTTACCTATAAAAGTCTCAAGGTTATCCTTCTTTATGGCTCAGTAGTACTTCACTGTGTAAAAAGACCACAGTTTTTTTATCCATCCCTCCACAGATGGGCATTTGGATTGTTTGAGCCAGTTTTTCCAGCATCATTTATTAAAGAAGCTATCTTTCTTCTAGTGAATGTGTTTGGCACCTTTGTCAAAGATAAGGTGGCTGAATATGCATGGAGTTGTTTCTGCATCTTCTAATCTGTTCCACTGATTTTCAAGACCACTCCAAATACAACAAAAAGAATTAACTGAACTAGATAATTCATAATATTATCATGGTTGAACATTTAATTCAATACTGACAATGGTTGGATAAAGATAAGGCAATAATTAAATGTGGCCACAAATTTAGTAAGATCTTCTGAAGTTCTATGGCTTTAAGGAATGTAATCATTATGTACACCAAATATATACTAATAAAAAAAAAGACTAAAAAGAGATTAACTGTCACAAATATACACAATTATTATTTGTCAAAAAAACTACCTCATTTCAAATAGCATTAAAGAGTATGTTCCACAGAAAAAGTTTCTAACAACTAGAGTTGTCTGACATTGAAAGAACAGCATAACAAAAGCAGTAATCCCTATATCAACATGTATGCTAGTACTATACCACTGCCCTTCTCTGCTTTTCTGCCTTCAAGAGTTAACTCAGGAATCACCTGACCCGAGGACGCTACCCTTATCCCCTCCCTTGCATCTTGTGCTTTACAGACTAGCTACTAAAAGTTTGGTCCTTTAACCAAAAACATTTGACATGACATCAATTGGGATCTTGGTGGAAATGCAGGACCTGAGACCCTACGTTTGAGCAAACTAAATGCATATTTTAATAAAATCCCAGGTGCTTTGTATTCACACAGAAATTCAGAAAGTGTGTAAATGACAGCATAAGGCAAGGTTTCTGAACCTAGAGTTCAGTGCACATGTCAGCAGGTGAACAAAGTTGCTCCAGCAGCCAAGCATTGGACAACAGTTGTATTTTCTAAACTAAAACTTCAGTATTCAGATTTAATTGCAGTGTTGGCACTTTGTGATAAATAGGTTGATTTTGGGTTGCAGGTTGGGCACACAGTCTTTAAAAGGTTAGCCCACACTGGCTTAAGTTGTGCATACAGTTCCTCATGTACACCGGTATGAGAGCATTCATTATATTGCATTTACAAATTTGGGGGAAAATCTGAGACTGAAACTGTTAAAAGTAAATCTAAGGTTTATTGTTGTTGTTGTTATTCTATATCCATTACACATAGCCTATAATTGATATTCCATAAATGTCTGTGACCGAATGAACAGCAATGAATGAAAAATAGGCACACATTTTAAAGCATCTTTTATGATAACTTATAAAGTATATGACAACTTAGAAATATTAATTACAAATGAGTAATATTTAAGAGATACTTTGAAAATCACTCTGTTTAAATGTACCCATATCCTAGAAACATGTTACAGAACATTTTTATCCCCACAAAAAAGTACATGAGATAAAAAACGGTACCTAAAGCTTCTGATCATATTTGTTTTTTCTCTTTAAAGAATCCTACACTGAAATTATCACATATTATCACCAGTTTGAGTGTAAGGTAGCAGCTGAAAAGATAGAAATAAATTACTTTTAGATTTCTATTGTTTTGTGGATGACACACAAATTATGTTGCTGTTTATCTTTAAGACTGCAGCTGTTGCTGGCTCTGCAGCACTGTTTACTATAATTACTGCTTTCAGATTTCATTCTGACCCATATGCCATTATAGGCTGTGCCCAGGCCAGATGAGCAATTTCAAAAATCAGCAGCAAATATAGTTGCTTACAAAACTGTTGTACTGAGAATCCTTTTTTTTTTCCTAGTAACATAAAAATTATTTAACAGACCATCACCTTAAAACCAAAATCCTCACCTGGCTGTTTCTCGCCACTCAGCATCCTCACCTTCACGCCAGCAAATCTCATCAAGTTCTGTGAAAAGGTCATGAGGAATGTGCTCTTCGTCATCATCCTCAGTTCCAAGAATAAACTGTACCCGCTGTGATGGGGTGTCTGTGAAAAATCAGAGACACGAACATGTATCACCATGACTCCACACCTAAAATATTCTAATCACTAGCTTTAATACACCCCAAACTTACATTTCCTTTATCCACACTGTCACATTTATCCAGTGCAAACTTGGGAATTGAAAGTAAATTTAACATAACATGAAGTGTAATATAATTTGAAGACATGAGAAGAGGAAATAAAATTGTCCATATTCACAGATGCCATGATTATTATCTACATAGAAAATCCAATGAAATCTACAAAAACAATTCCTAGAGTGAGCTTAGCAAGATTATAGGATATCAGGCAATACAAAATCAATCATATTTAGATTTGAAAAATTAGAAACAACAAAAACAATTTATAATAACTTCAAGAAAAATCTAGATAAAAAATTTTGAAAATGTGGATTCTGAAAACTATAGTGAAACCTAATGAAATAAATTATTTGAGGGCCAGGGATATAGCTCAGTGGCACAAGCACCTGCCTGGCAAGTGCAAGGTCCTGAGTTTGATTCCCATTACCAAAAAAAATTTTTTTTAAATCAAAGTAGCCCTAAATAAATGCAGATATATACAGTACCTTCATCTTTAAAAATGTTCAGTTTCCTTGGATTGGAAAAACAGTTCAGAGACTATCCTTTCCAAATTTACCTATAGTAATGCAATTTCAATCAAAGTTCCAGAAGAATTTTTGTAGATGAGGACAAGATAATTATAAAACCCACACAGAAAGTAAAAATAGTAGAATGGCCAAACAATTTTAAAAAGAACAAGTTTGGGGGAACCCATGCCATCTGATTTTAAGATTCCCAGATGCTTCTTGAATTATGATGTCTTCATAAACCCATTGTTATTGAAAATAACCCCAAATGCACTTACTACATCTATCTTAGTGAACATCAGAGTTTAACAACATAGTAGAATATGAATTGTGTTCATGTGGCTGAGAAGGAGTTATGGCTCACTATCACCACCCAACATGGGGAAAACAGAGTATCTTATCTCTTTCAGAAAAGAGTACCATACTGTAGATTGCTAGACTAGGAAAAAATAAAACTCCAGATAGGATTTCTGCTGAATATGTACTGCTTTTGCACCACTATAAAGGTGAAAATTATATGTCCAACAATAGTAAATTGGTAGCCCTCTGTATTCTAAAGCCATAGTATCAAAGAAATGTAGTTCTAGAGAAGGAGTAGACAATATATTGAAATCCTAACTTTCAATATGATGAGATATAAAAGTTGAATTTTTGGAAGGAAATTAATCCATCAGAGCGAGGCCCATAAAATGGAATTATAAAAAAAAAAAGACTCCAGAGAATACTCTTACATTTTTCTATTGTGCAAAGATACAAGGAGAAAATGAGTTTTCAATCAAGAAGGCCCTAACAAGAACCGTATATTGCTAGTACCTGATCTCAGCTGTCCCATCTCCAAACTGAGAATTAAACTTCTGTAGTTTATTTTCTCCTATGTCTGCAGGACTTTGTTATAGCAGATCAAATTATTTAAGAGACACCTAGGTCAATGGAACAGGGGAGAATATCCAGGAAAATAGTCCAAAGAAATCTACGCAATTGATTTTTTGAAAAAAATGTGCAAAGGCAATTTAATATCAGATATACTTTATCTCTGCCTTTTCTATGTCTTTTCAAGAAATGTGGAACAATTGGACACTCATGTGTAAAGCAAGAGACCCTTGAACTAAATTTCATATCTTTTATCAAAATTAACTAAAAGTGAATCATTTTAATGTGAAATATAAAATTAGAAAATCTTTAGAAGAAAATGTAAAAGAAAAATTTTTGAGCTTTAAGTGAAGAGTTTTTTAATTTGATGCAAACACCTAATTCATAACAGCAAAATGAATAAAAACATCAAAATTTAATACATTCAGTGAAAGTCACTGTCAAAGACATATAAGAACAAGTTATAGAAGGGGAAAAATATTTGCAAATTGTATGTTCAACAGAGTCCTATATCTAGAATATATAAAAACATTCTTGAAACTGAACAGTAAAGAAAAACAGCTCAATTAAAAATGGGTACTATATTTCCATATGCTTCAACAGATAAAAATATGAGTTGCAAATAACCACATGAAATATTTTCAATAATTTATCATTAATTCAATGAGGTACATTGTCAAGACATACATGAAGAAGATGTCCATATTTACTTTGCCAGTTTCACAGATGCTGGCAGAAGATATGAGACACTTTGGTGAGACCAAAGACAGTTTATTACTTAGAGCAATAGCAGCACTCAAAGTATCACCACCTGTCTTGGATCATTAAGTCACTTCTAACACAGAAAGTTGAACAAAAGGCATAGAGCTGTTGCACGTATAATCAGAAGAGTTATAGGAGAGGTCAGAATTGGGAAACTTGTGTTATTCATAAGGAAGTCTCTCTGATTTTTTGCACCATAGGAAGACATTACCTTTATTTCACTGGATGGTAAACAAACCTGCCATTTGCTCCACAGAGAAACACTGTGTCTATTTTCCTAGTCTGCTCACTATACAAATACCACTGAAAAGAGAGGCACAAAGGCAGTCAGTTGCCTCTGCTCATAAAATGTGCGGTCCACATAGACCATTGCTTATGGTATGTCAGCAATGAATGGGGTGCTCTCTCCCCAAAACCATTTCTGTAGTTATTCTGATCACTCTCAGAAAATTTATCTTTAACCATTCCAATGAAGAAACCAAAAAATTTAAGCAAGTTAAATAAGAGTAGATTGTCTTATTAAAATAAGGAGAAAAGCACCCTTAGCCTATCTCAATTCAACTGTTTTGGATTTGTTGTTATTTTGTTTTATTTTGTTTTTATAATATGCATCCCTGGGGAGCATATATTTACAGAGCACTTAGCACATTTATGTCAATTTTTAAATGCATATTTTAAATATAGAAATATAGAAAACAAGCAAAATGTCCTCAGTGTATTTTTATAACACGAACAAACATTCCCTTCATATTTCACAAGTGAAATATAGCCAGTGTAAATAGTATAAAAATAAGTGAAATAATTTATATGAATCAGTTGTTGAGATTTTATAAGGTTCTTTGACAATTTTACTATCTTGTTAATCAAGGGGCACCTATGACTCAGCAATTTGTTAAATGGTGGGAAGCAAAGAAGTCCAAGCAAAGCAAGAAAAAGTGAAGTTGACTTCTTATTAGATCTATTCAGTAAAAAAAAAAAATAGTGTCTTTATATTCCAGAGTTCAGTCTGGCTGTGTTTTGAGCAGTCAGTCCACTGGCTAGAGGGATGAAGTATATATTTCAGTTCTTCTAAATGCTACCACACAATGACTTCTCTTGAATTGTTTAAAATCTGTTTGTGATAAAAATGAATACATACTATGAAATAATAAAAGATGAGAATTAAGTCCCAATTTATCTGGTCTTATGCTACAAGAATAAAAAACAGCCAAAAAATGAAGGTTGCCATGGTAAGGGAGGGTTTTCATATCTCACAGGAAGAGATATGAAGTAAGTCAAGTCACATTAGCATTCATGCTTTTTACTATAAAGTGAACAAAAGAATCCAGGAAAACTAAAAACATTATCAATGTTTCAATTTAGGTCATAGATTTAAGTACAGGGCAATTTAAGAAAACGTTTCAGAAACTGAAGTTCAAGAAGTAGATCTGCAGTCGGCAAACAACTTCACAGAAGAGAAGGATCAGGTGAATTTTGAATACTGTTTTCTAAAAACTAACTGAAGTCCAAAAACTAGGTTTACCAAACTAGGTTATACCAAGTAACTGGCCTGAGTACAAATGAGCAAACCTTCCCAAGCAAACTGGACCTGTAATAGTAAAATTGGAATACAAACGAGTATTTCCCTTCATAAAGGGTAAACTTGATTATATGATAGAAATGTGGTTACCAGAAAGATTTAAAAATAATGGTGGAGGGCTGGGATATCAGAGTTAGAGTTAAACTAACTATGAGACCCCAGAAATAGTGGCTAGAAAAATCAAAATTGTTATGTTTGTTATGTTTCCACCTGCCTCTTAGTCTCCTAGAAATAAGTAGAACCAAGTCTCAAGAGAAGAAATTATGGAGGCAGAAACACTATCCAAAATATAAAGCATTATATAAACATAGTGATTGATACTGATGGTAGCGGTAATGGTGATAGTTACAAAGATGACACAGGTTTTGTTTTTTCGTTTTTTGGAGTTGTTTTGTTTTTGTCTTTTTGAGACAAGATCTTGCTATGCAGATCAGGCTGACCTTGAGCTCACGTTGTAGCCCAGGCTGGTCTAGAACTCACAACAATCCTCTTGCTTCAGCCTCCCAAGTACTGGAATTACAGGCATGCACCACCATACCTGGCCTTTTTTTTTTTTTTTTTTTTTTTTTTTTTGTCTTTTTGAGACAGGGTGTCACAAGATAACACAGGTTTAACTGCAAGAAATGTGGAGATTTACAACCTGAAAAAGGGAGAATAGGAAAATAATAATGCCATTAATTAAAAGAGAGTGGTCAGCATACAGAGCTTGTATTGTAGGCTGAATATTCAAAGAACAACTTTTGGGTATGGCGAGTTAGAGATAACTGTAAGAAAAATACGCAAAGGTCATAAGACAGTTGAAGATTTTAGATTGGATTCTGGAAGAGGAAAATGTCAGAAATGAACATATAGGTGGCATTTAACTAAAGTAGAGGTATTAGATAGATAGATAGATAGATAGATAGATAGATAGATAGATAGATATAGATCATAAGTATATAGATTATGATAACTAAAAACTGAAGAACAGAGATAGAAAGAAGATTTTAAAATGGAGAAATGATTAGGATGAAATAATGGGAAATGAAACAGGAGTTAACAAAAGAATCAGATAAGAAATAGGGAGATATGTAAAAGGATCAATATTAAATATTTTATGAGCACCTTCCTTTTGTCAGGTACTGTCATAAGCAGTGAACAGACAGAAATAAACAAAAAATATCTGCCCTTATGGAGCTTAAATCT